CCCTGCCCGTGTCCCCCTGCAGATCTCTGTGCCCGCAGGGTGGGCAGTGGAGCTGGCTGAGCGGCTGCTGGGTGTCCCTGAGGTGTGGCCAGCGGGGCTGGCAGCCAGGGACAGCCTGCGCCTGGAGGCCGGTCTCTGCCTCTACGGCAACGACATCGATGAGACCACCACGCCTGCCGAGGCCGGGCTGCTGTGGACCTTGGGTAGGTCAGGGCCATGTCTGCCCCCACCTCCTCCCCAGGGTGGGCAGAGGGACCAGGTGTCCCCACACCCCCAGCAGGACGTATGGGGGACCAGGTGGGCATCACTGACCCTCGCCCGTCCCTGCCCCGCAGGGAAGCGTCGGCGCACAGCCATGGACTTCCCTGGCGCGGCCATCATCATGGCACAAGTGAAAGAGAAGCCAAAGCGCAAGCGCGTGGGGCTGACGTCAGTGGGACCCCCTATCCGGCCCCACACAGCCATCCTGGGCCCCGAGGGCACGCCTGTGGGTAAGTGGGGGCAGTGGGGCTGGCACGGGCGTGGCCCTGAGCTGCGCCCGCCACAGGGGAGGGAACTGGGGCTGCTGGCCCCCGCTCACCTCTCCATGTCCTCACGTCTCCAGGCACAGTGACCAGCGGCTGCCCCTCGCCCTCCCTGGGCAAGAACATTGCCATGGGCTACGTGGAGGCGGTGCACAGCCGGGCCGGCACCGCACTCACCGTCGAGGTGCGGAAGAAGCAGCACCCGGCCCTTGTCACCAAGATGCCCTTCGTGCCCACCCAGTACTACATGGCCAAGTGAAGCCAGTGCCCGCTGTGGGCACAACGCCTCAGCCCCAATAAACATCCCTGGCCCACTCTCCCAGCCTCCTCTCCAGTGACAGCAAGCGGGTGCCAAAGCCAGGGGGCTGCAGGTGGGGCACAGCACTTTAATGGTGTGGGCAGTGCCTGGCGTGTCCCGGTGCTCCTCACTCCCGGTGTGTCTTCGCCAGCTCCGCAGCCAGGCCCTCTCTGCAAAAGAGGGGCAGCGTGAGCAGGGCTGGGGCGGCACTCGGCATGGCACCCTGACAAGGGGGAGGTGGGCAGGACTGGGGCTGCACTTACTGGGACGTACTGGTCTGAGGGCACAGCTAGGAGGGTGCTCACTGGGGTGCACTGGTCTGTGGGCATGGATGGGAAGGTGCTCATTGAGGCGTACTGGTCTGGGGCAGATGGGAGGGTGCTCACTGGGGCATACTGGTCTGGGGCAGATGGGAGGGTGCTCACTGGGCTGTACTGGTCTGGGGCAGATGGGAGGGTGCTCACTGGGCTGTACTGGTCTGGGGCAGATGGGAGGGTGCTCACTGGG